GCCTAGCGTCTGTCTCTTTCGGGGCGTGTAGATTGCATTTTACAGAAAGCAAAAGGAGAAGAGACGGGGATCGCATTTGCAGTGGGAAATTCTTGGAGGATTGTCAAAGAGAGGCAAGTGGCTGGTCTGACCTTCACCTCTGTGCAGGAACCGCCCCAGAGCCTGGGCACTGCCATTATCCGCGGTGGCACTCACCAGTTATCTCACGTCTCCACCTTGCAACCCCAGGTGTTCCTTCATCCATCACTGGCCCTCGTCCGGTCTCCACTCCTCCTCCCCCCCCACCCCCGCCGCCGCCTCCTGCCTGACGGTCCTCCTTGTTAATAAGCCAGTTTGTTCGTATCCTGAAAAGTATCTGATTCTGGTCCCTTTTATCCCAAACACCATCCATCCATCAACCACTTGCTCTACATGCTTGGTTAGGAAAATGGGAATGGGGGAGGGAGACAAATAATAGATAAAACTTCTTAGCTGCTATCTCTAAAGAAATAGAATGGATAAATAGATCCATCAGACATGTATCACGCCACTGGACAGCGAAGTCCATTTGTTACAAACTGGTTAGGCAGGAGGATTTATCTCACATTTTAAGCTGCTAATATGGAAGGGAAACTGTTTTCTTTATCTCTCCCAGGGGAGGAGGGGGGAAACCCCAAGGCCACTAATGCAGACTTTTTAACTCAATTTGATGGGCTTTCCTTCACGAAGGTGGAAAAGGTGGTCTCTCCCTCTTAAGTTTACACAGCCTCTTGGAAGCGTGTGGGCTCTCTGATGCTCCAGGAAGGTTGCAGGATCTGGAAGTCCTGTGAAAACATCTTCTGTGGGGTTCTCACTCACGAATTCCTGACCCTACATGCTAAGGCCATTTCAGAGCCTTTGCTTCTAGCACGGAGGGACCCAGAGAGAGAACAGCATCCAACAAACTTTTACCAGGAAGCTCCTATGTGCGGGTGCTATGCTAAGTACTAAGGCTCCAAAGGTGAAGATGAGTTTTTACCTGCTCTGCAAAAGTCACTAGGTGAGGGAGACAGACAAGTAAGCTACAGTGATAGACTGGAAAGTGCTGGGATACAGAGCCCTGTGAAGGAGTGGCACCTGACGAAGTGTGGGCTAACGGGAGGGGTCAGGGCTGACACCTAACCTCTCGCCTGAAGATCACTGGCAAAGAGCTAGGAGAAGAGGGAGCTGGGGGGCAGGGTGCTTCTGGGTAGTATATGCAAAGGCCTGGAGGGGACAAAAAGCCTGGCCTATTTGAGGAACTCAATTGGAAATCACTCATTCAACAAATATTTGTTGACCCCATATTAAGGCCAAATACTATTCTAGCACTGGGGATCTAGCCGTGAAAAAGTTTGCATATTAACGGGGGGAGGCATATACCAAGAAAAATAGGAGAATAAATGAATCTATCTAATCTCAGGTCGTGCTAAGTACCATACAAGAAAACTAATTGGGAGTAAGGTCCTTGGAGGGATCATATTTGAGCAGAGACTTGAATGAAACAAGGGCGTGAGGCTCGGACGAGCTCATTTAGTGGATGAGCATTTCAGGCAGAGGGGATAGTAGATGCGAAGTCCTGAGGCATGGGAGAGCTTGACATGTATGAGGAACCACAGACAGCCTTTCGTGGCTAGAGCAACATGATTGAGGGAAGGAGTGAATGGAAGGAAATGAAGTCACAGAGCCAAAGGCTAGACATATAGGGCTTTGTACATCCTGTAAGGGCAACAGATTTTTAGTACAAGTGGCTCATAGAACCTAAAAAAGGAGCTGAAGATGGAGTGGCACATTGGCATTGGATCCTAGAGAACCTTGTGAATCCAGTTAAAAACGCTTGGACTTTCTAACAATGGCTGTGGGGTGTTGAACCACCAGCAGCGCCTGAGGTGAGCAGGGAAGTGGCAGCTACAGAAACTTCCCCAGGACCAAGCACAAGCTGCCCTGAGGAAAGGCTCAGGAGCCAGACCAAAAGTCTGAACTCAGCAGTCTCCAGCCTCACAAGGACCAGCACCCAAACCAAGGAGCTGAGCAGTGAATTGTCACCCTCAGCACCCCACCTCACAGGGTCCCACCCTGGTGACTTTTTGCATACTGCTTCCTCTGCGTTATCCTGCCCCTTCTCTGCCTTTCCTTGCTTGTCTAACTCCCACTCATTTCCTAGACTCCACTCCATCCTCTCCTCCTCTGGGCTGTCCTTCATGCTCCCCCAGCTGGGCTAGCCCCCACAGCCCTCTGGGCTTCCTGCTGGCATGGGACCTCTTGCATCCCCGGCCCCCGCATTCTCGCAGGGCCAGAACCACGTCTGATTCATCTCTGTATCTCTGGCACCTGGCACGGGGCCTGGCACAGGAGCTCCCTGGGGGCTTCGCTCATTTCCCAAGTGAAGGGGTAGCAGCCCTGATTGCCTTCATGGAAGAGAGGTGTCCTTCTGCTAATCTGCATCACATCCCCTGCCTGTCACGACCCCCAATAACTGCGTTCTGCCATCTCTCATTTCTGCGGTGTGGTTTTTGAAGCCTACCCTTTCTCTCCGTCCATTCTCTTCACCCTAAAGGCATGTATAGTTCAGAAGAGATTCATTGAGTGAACTCTTTAGATCTTCCTCCATCTCAAGGAAGAGAAAAAGCAAAAAAAGCCTCTCCTTATTGCTTTCCATTCTGTCGTTCATTTACTTTCCGAAGACACCTTGTCAAGCTGAAGATTATATCTTTAAGCCGTGTTTTTACATCCACTACCTATAAAGCCTTAGATTATAGGTCTCGTGAAAGGACCTGAGGGAGAATACATTTGACGAGCTTTATGCCCTTTGCTTGGCAAGAGCCAGGCGTTCTTGAAGAAGGAAAGGCGCTGATCTGGGGAAGGGTTGCTGCTTCTGAAACTGCCCCTGCCACTGTACTGTGATTTCTGAAACTGCTGGGGAGGCAGCTGGGAGGCGGCGTCCTTGGGGGAGCTGGGGCAGACGCTGGCCTTGGTTCCCTGGCTCCGGGGACAGGAAGACAACGGCATGGCTCAGCTGGTCGTTTGGGCTCACAGGTGATCCGGGCAGTTGCTTAACCCCAACGTTCTCACCTCCCACCTAGAGGACTGGATTCACCCCTAAAGGAGTTTCCTCGCCTCTCCCCTGCAGCCCACACGCCATCCTGCAGGTCCCTGCACTAGTAGCCAGCATAGAGCGAAGGCGGGGAGCCTGGGCTTGATGGACTGCATTCAAACCCTGGCCGACCGTGAGGCTCCACCTTGCCAAGGCTCAGTGTCCTTAGCCATGACGTGGGACTCGTAAAGGGAACCTGAAGAGGTCCTTGATAAGGCTGAATGAGATAGCACAGGTAAACCCTACTGTGGCTGCCCTTTTATTACACACCTGTTCCCATGAACCCGTGATGACTCTCCTCACTCAAGGGTTCTCAGCCTTGGCTGCCTTCTTCTTTCTTGTTTTATTGAAGTATAGTTGGTAACAGCTTTAAAACTCCTGCTGTCTGGCTCGTACCTCCAGACATTTGGATTTCACGGGTCTGGGGTGCAGCCTCTGGACGTCAAGGTTTTCAAAACCCTCCAACCGATTCTACTCTGCAACTGAGTTTGAGAATTACCACTTTCATGAAGACCAAGCTAGAATGTCCTCTGTAAATTGCGCACTCGGCCTCCGTCAGTTACTAGCATGTAACTGTTGCTCTCTAGTAAATAATGAATGGAAATTAATTACTAACGTAAATTAACTTCAAAAGGAAAAAGCAAATAAATGACAGGATAAAAGCAATAAAGGAGTCTTCTTCTTTCAGATGGTAGATCTAATGAGTTCAGAAATGAAACTTCCAAACTATGTTTTAATTAATAACAGTAACAATAGTAATAATAAGGGTGATGCTAATAATTCCATGTGCAACAAGGCACTGTGCTGTTTTATATGACATATTTACTTTCACCTTCTTCCCCACTCTCCATTCCCAACATGTGCACTTGCACATGCCCCCAAGGTTCTTTCTCACCTTCAAATTCTGTTACATGCTGAATTTCTGTCTTAAAGGCTTCCTCCCTCTTTGCCTAGTTTATGATCCTTCGAGGTCTGGGTCAAGCCCCATTCCATATATAAAATACACACACACAAGGTAAGGTAAATCTCTCTCCCACCTGGTCTCCTTTGGCACTTACTTCGGCATTAACTCAGCAATTAATTCCCTGTGTCCCTAAAACCCCTTCTAATTGTTTCATGTATATATGTCTTATGATTACCGTAAAAAGATTGAGGATTCTGGAAAGATAGGGAACACCAATATATATCAATCAACAGATTTTTTTTTTGTCCCTACTGGAAATGCACATTCCACCACCAAGGAGTCACCAACCTATAGGAGAAACTTAGAGGTAAACAGAAAAGTCAGTGCAACATAACACATTCTCTATCTGAGGCATGACTGGAGTGCTGTGGGGATACTGAGGCAGGCTGGTGTGATTGGCTCTCCCACAGGTGGCAGGGAAGGTACACTGATCAGCATTGGTTGGCCCCTCCAGATCCATGCTCCAGTCTGGAGAGCTGACCAATCTGGACCACATGTTTGAACTGACTCTTGAGTTTGGTCCCTCACTTCATCCAAGGATGCTTGTTAGGTCCCTCCCAGTTCCAGGCACAGCACTGGCCTCTTCAGATACAGTGCTGAACCAAACAAAGCTGATCTCTCACGATTACCATCTCAGGGGAGACAGGTCATAAATAGTCACAGGACGTATGGCAGCAAATATAGAATTATTAACAGTGAAAAATGCAACAAAGGAAAAGGATAGTGTGAGATGGTAACTGGGGGAAATGTGTTATTTGTGGTAAGAACTTAGCCAAGGGAGATTAAGTGAAGGAAAAAAGGAAAATACTGTTGAATCCAGGTGAAGGAAAATTGAAGGAATTCAAGTCAGTCTTCATTTTTTCTCATTATTTCAGTGTGCCTGCTTATTTTACCATCTAGTAATGGTTCTATGAATGAACAAATATTGTACTCAAAGAACTGAAATAATTCTCATCATGCTTTGTTTTATTGGCCATTGACTGTTTCAACAGCATCTGCTTGCCTCATACCTCTAACATCCTATAAATCCCTCTAAGGCATGGATTGAGATTTCTCTCTTGGTTTTTTGGTTTTTTGGATGATCTGAGATGCTGTAAGCAGGACCAAGCCCCTAGTTAACACCCTGCACCCAGTTGTTGAACGTCTAGAATAATAGGACAGTTAGTTCGCTGTAGATGGCGCAGGCCGGTCCTGGGCCCAGGAGTTGGCAGGACAGAGAAGAAGTCCATGTCGATTTGCATTTTCCCTCAGCTGAGAGAAGTCTTTAGCCAGTGGTCGGTGCAGGGGGTGACATCCACGGCATCGGTGCCCAGAGGCTGTCAGCAAGCCCGGGTCTGCACTTTAGACCCTGGACATGAGGCGCCTCCGTTCTGGGGTGCAGGGTTATTGCACTCTCTCCTCCTTTCCTGGGTGCCTGCTCTGCAAGCAGACCAGGAGCTCCAGCAGCTCCAGCGACCATCTGCCTTGGCTCCTGCACAGATAATTTCCCAAGGGAGGAGAAGGTTAGCATACAAGAAGCAGCTCAGACTAGCAGGAGGGAGGCCCATCCCATTGCCCTGGAGTGGTCCACAATCTCTCCTTGAGGAAATGCCTGGTGTAGCCAACCAAGACCTCTGTGCTCGCCGCCTTGCTCTTAATTTGAAATTCTGGATGGAGTGAGAAGAGGCCACTGAGAGCCCATCTCATGAGATTGGAATGCGCAGTTCCACGGAAGAGAGATAGCAGAGTAATGCGGGAAGGCACGCTCCTCTGGAAGAATGACACAGAGCCACTGGAGGGTGTGAAGAGCAGGGAGCATGACCCAGCCCAGGATTCACAGACAAGGCCAGCCTGACAGCCCTGTCAAGAGGCTTGCTGGGCTTTTGTGAGGGTTTGCAAATCAGACCCCTCCGACTCTGACAGTGGGGCCACAGTGAGTGACAGAGTCTCTGCACAGAGCATGAGAACATAGGCACTGATCACGGGTTGCTTCTGGAAAGCCAACTCATGCAGCCCCCTGGCCTGGGGCTGCTGCGTCCTACTGGCTCTGTGCCTTGGGCCCGACCCTCTCTCAGCCCGAGTTTTCACCTCTGTAAATGAAATGGCTGGACTAATCTGGTGGGGTTTTTCCATCATTTTTTTTCATTATTGTTTTTTTCCCCCTTAAATGAAATTTTATACGAACCTCAATATGGCAGCCAGATGAAAGTCAGGCTGTTTTATTTGAAGCTAGGGTGTCTGTCACGTTTGCCCTGCTCCCCTGGGGCAGCTCCTAAGACCACAAGTTTCTTCAGATCCCAGTGTGAATATCACTGGATTAGATGATCTTCAGGTCCCTTTGAGCTCTGTAATTATACTCCCTGGTGGGACAGCCACAGCGGGCTTCCCTGTCTCTATTTTTCTCACTTCCATGACTTGGTCCCCATAGGCAAAGGTTTGCAGGGAAAATCCTTAGGGATCAATGTCAGTGGGTCTCCATGGTAGCTGACTGCCCAGTCTTAGATTTCCTTACCAAATTAATCTTTGTCAGGCTGAGCTTCAGTCTGATGTCCCCAAGGCTACCTGATGTCCACACAGTGCTTGTAACAAGGTTAATGGAATACCTGTGTGCTGCCTGCAATTGACTGATGTAATCTTGCAGGAGAAACAGGCTGTGAGGAGGAGGACCCATTCTCTGTGCCCTGCCACCACCCCCAGATCCTTGGCATCATGTCCCCCTTCCCCAGGGCCCATTGTTGTGTACATCCGACTCAGCATGGCTGCAACTGAACCTAGCATTGGACCATTGAAGAGGCATAACTAGGTAACCCACACTCCCTATTCCTTTCTACCTCTGTAGTTTTGTCCAGGGATCCAAGGGATCCAAGCAAGTCACTGGTACTGCGGGCCCATGCCATAAGTATAATTAGTAAGGCAGGGCTCTTTAAGTCAGATTGGCTGATAAGCATGGACTGGGACATACCTTCCCTTCCCACTCCCCAAAATAATAGTCAGTGCAATCATCTCAGACTCTCTGCCCTCATTTCTGAAATTTCCTGACTCTTAGGATGTACATCAGTAGAATGTAAGTTAAGAGCTTGGGTCCTACCATGGGTCCAACCCCCTGGGTCCAATCCTGGCTCTGACACTCCGCAGCTGGATGACTTTGAGCAAAGGTGTGTCACCTTCCTCCTATCCCAATTCCTCATCTGTGAATTGGGGCTAATAACAGTACTTACAACATTCTTGGGGGAAGAGACGAGTTCATGCCCAGGGGGTGTTGAGATAGTGCCTGGCACAGAATAAGGGTTAGTTATTCTTTCTGTTCAATGACCTTTGGTCCCTTTGGAAAAGCTGCCTAGCCGATGAGGTGCATGAGGGCTAAAACCCAGTCCACACTCTGCTTGAAAGTCAAGAAAACCCAGGGCCCAGGAGCTGGCCTGTATCAGCCCCGAGAAGTTTCTTTGTTTCTCTCCGTTTACCCACCCATCAGGCAGTGTCTTTTTTCAGTTTCCATGAGGAAACTGTGCCAATCTTTGACCTGGAAATGAGTCTACTTGTTTTTTATTCTCTGCATCCTCATTCATAAGGACCCTGGGATTCACTCACCATCTTGGCTCAGCCCTCTCAGAATTCCTCCTACAGGATACAAGGCAGCTTGTCAGGATTTAATTTGCACTCCCTTCAGCCAGCAAAGGAGGGATTTAGATGAGGCACCAAACCAAGATTGACCCTCTACCAGGAGAGCAATCTCTTCCTCTTACATATTATAATAGAGCCTGCCACGTGTGTTAGCTAGGGTCACATCAACACAACCTGTGAGGAAGGTACTGATACTATCCCTATTTTTCAGGGGATTCTCAGATGAAAATTGGCAACACTGGTATTCAGAGGCCTATCTGCCACCAGAGGTCTGCCATCTTGCTTCCCGTCGAGAACTACTCCCCCAGTGAGGAAATTATAACCTGCCATCAGCTCATTTTCAAACCAGGCTCCCACCCCATCTACCATGGGCATCCGCAGTTCGTTTTATGGACCTAAGAGTAGTACCTTAGATGTACCTATCCAGACTTTCTTTTTTTTTGCCTTTACATTATCTTCTTTGCACTGGCCTGTTGAGACCGATTTATACATTGATTTGGCAGCCCATGTGTTTTTGCCATCATTCCATGTACAATATAAGCTTTGTATGGGCAGAAAACTGAAATCATAAGGATTTGGGCTAAATTCTTGGGCTAGAGATTCTCGAAGCTCAGAGGAAACTTAAATGAGCGAGATGAGCCCCAGAAAAAAGAAATGGTTCACCAGTGTCTCACAGGAAGTTAGTGAAGTAGTTGGGACTCACGTCCAGGTCCTCATCTGTGAGGGATATGGATTTCTAATCCTTGTTTGAGAGCTTTCTTCCCCGGGACCAGTTAGTTCATGCTGTACCACGATACACTGAAACCTGACTTGCCCCAGCCCTTTTGAGTTTTGGCCATAGCTCCTTGCACTATAATGCCACCTATTTAACTCTTGTCATGAGTTGAATTGTGTGCCCCCAAAGATACGTTCAAGTCCAAACTCCCATCACCTCTAAATGTGACCTTGTTTGGAAATAGGGTCTTTGCAGTTTATATCATATTAAAATGAGGTCATGATGGATTAGGGTGGGTCCTAATCCAACGACTAGCTTTCTTATAAGAAGAGAAAACAGAGATGTATAGCGGGGAACACCATGTGAAAATAGAGATTGGAATGACACATCTACATACAAGCCAAGGAATGCCAGGGATCACCAACAACCACCAGAAGCTAGGAGAGAGGCATAGAACAGATCTACCTTCAGAGCCTCTGGAAGAAACCAACCTGGCCAATACACCTGAATTTTGGACTTCTAACTTACAGAAGTGTCAGACAATACATTTCTGTTGCTTTAAGCCACCCAACTTGTGGTAATTTGTTATGGTAACCCTAGGAAACTAACATATCCCTCCAGAAATGAATCCTACTGTCCATACACACCTTGGCAAACAACAGATCTCATTCGAGAGAGGGTCTTGATAGCAGGGAGAAAGCAGAAGAACCATTACAGTGGAGAGAGGGCATCAGCCATAAAGCAAGAGGTCACAGGAGGAAGAGGCGGGGAACCCAAAGGTCCTTTCTGTGCTGGCCCCTCTAAGGGGGGCCGGGCTTGCAACTGAGTAAGGATGCATGGGCCTTACCATCTTGCTCCATTTGCTCACAGGCAAGGCCCTTGCGACCCAGGGGGCACTGACACCTGCAGCTGGTGCCCTCGAGGATGGGCTCCCCATTGTTGAAGCAGGGCCCACAGCGGCAGGCGTTGAATTCCATCAGGTACTGGTCCAAGGCCCGGTGCAGGTTCTGGCGTTTGGTCTCCAGGGGCCCCAGGGTCGTATGCCTCAACACCTCATGGATGGGCTGCATCTGTGGGTGCAGAAAGAACAGAGAACACCTCCCTGGGCCTCCAGCTTCCCAGAGCCCAAGAACTGGCCATCAAGCCTCTGGAAGGCCTGCTACGTGCCCGGCACAGAACTAGACACTCAACTCTACCCCACTCCATCAGATCCTTACCACCATTCAACTCCGGAGTGGCTACCCACAGCCACTCGACTCCAGAGACTGCGAGTGTTTGAGTGACTCAGTCAGGATCACATAATTAAGTGAAAGAGCCACTCTGTACGCAGGCCTGCTTAGCTCTGAAAGCTGTGGTCCCCCAATCCCAGAGGAAGAGAGCTCAGTAGCAATCTATGTCAACTCATCTGCCCCCCTCCAGCCCTTTTAGGAGGCAGGAAGAGGGTCAAGTATTATGGGTATTTATGTGTGGTTTGGGGGGTGTTGTTTTTTTTGATTGCTAAGCTTCAATGCAGGAATTATTAAAGACCTTATAGGTGGTCATGTCAGCAGGTGTTGAACACTCCTATTGGTATCAGTGTGGACAGGTGTGTGGGGGGGTCATTTGCATTTGAGGCCACCGCCCATTCCAGGAATGACTATAACCCAGGGTTTCCCAACCTCAGCATGACTGCATTTCCAGCTGGAGAATTCTTTGTTGGTGGGGGAGGGCAGTCCTGTGCATTATAGGATGTTTAGAAGTATCTCTGGCCTCTACCCACTAGATGCTGATAAGAACTTCTGGTTGGGAAAACCGAAACTGTCTCCTGACATTGCCACATGTCCCCCAGGGGGCGAAATCGATCCTTGGTTGGGAAATAGACGTGGTAGAGAGCACTGAATCTGGAACCAGAAAATCTGGCTTCGGATCTCAGCCCTACTAGTTCCAGCTGTGTCATCTGTCAGTTTAGACGGGGAGCCTGCCTTCTTCGTCTCTAAAATGAGAACAATCCTCTTACCTTACTGTGAGAATGAAAGCTGATAGATGGGAGAGGCCTATCACAGAGTAAAAGTTCAGTAAATGCTGCTCCTGTCCTAGTTCTGTGGTCTTTCCTGTCTGTCTCTAAACCTCAGCCTCATTTTCTATAAGATGGGAATAATAACCTACTTCCTAGAATTCTTATGAGGATCTAAAGAAGTAATGAATGAGAGCTACCATTGCAGAAGGGAAGAACAATATAAAGTAAAGCACCATTTTTATTAGTTAGATGTGATGATAGGGGGAAAAAGCCGAAATTCTTCAAATTGCATGTACATATGGTTGTGGTTGGCATGCTTTTAACACTATATATTTTAACACACAATTGTCACAGGGCAATTCAGAGATAGGACTGAGCCTCACTTCTCCGGAATCATAAGTCAATAGAGGGCACTCACAGTAGCCTTGAGTGGGTTCCTGGAAATGTGTACAGAAAGGCCCCTTGACAGACAGACCTTGGTTTGTGGTCACAGGTTGCAACGGAGGTCACCAGCCTGGTCATTTCAGGACTGGCTGGGCTGCCAGACAGGGGCAGATGACCACTTACTGGAAGTTCAGAAAATTTGGCCCCATTGTTAGGAAGTCAGTGCAGGATGCGCTGCCCTGTGACCCTGGTTAAAGATGACTCTTAATTCCAGGGAAGGTTGGGACTATTGGGCAACTTCCCTGTGACCTTCCGGTGGGGCTCAGCACTCACTCCCCTGCCTCTCACTCCTCACTCCCAGAATCCACAGCAAGTGGAAAGGGAGCATTCCTTGGGAAGGGCAGATAGGGACTTAAAGGAGGGGGGAGGGGTGGAGAAAAAGAATCTTAGAGCTTGAAAAGATGTTGGCCATGGTTTTGTTCCCATTTTATAGATAAGAAAACAGATTCAGAGAAGGCAAGTGGTATGATATTAGCAACATGATATAACCTAACACATAATATATAACATAGCACAGCATCAGAACATAACATGATTCCTATATTAACTCTGTCTAAGTACCTGCCATAAATCAGTACTGCTAAGCTATGGGGACATGTAAGTGAGTAAGACGTTGTCTCCACTCTGAGTGTCGGGTTCCAAATAACCCCCTGGCTGTACTCCTTGCCCATTGTCTGTCTGTCTCTCTCTCCCCAGCCCTTCAATTCATTCTTCATATATCTGTAAGCATCCTCTTTTTAAAACACAGCTCTAGCTGTGTCACCTTCCTGCTGTGTAACCTGCCAGCACCTTAATGCATCGAATCCAGACCTCTCAGGGGGAAGTCTGTGATGTGAAGAGATCATGGGTATTAGAATCTATCAGACAGAGCTCAAGTTGGGCTCTGCCACTTACCAGCTACGGTATTTGGCCAGCTTACTTAGCTTCCATCAGTCTGTTTCTTCAACTGACATTCACTAAGTACCCACTACTCTCTCCCTAACCTTATGAAGTAACATTTTATTATCCCCATGTTATAGGCTGGGAAACTAGGGCTCAGAAAATAAAGTAACTTATCCAAGGTTATACACTGAAAAGGTGGCGAGCCATGATCCAAATGATATCTTTCTCACCCCAAACGTAGGCTCTCTTTCCACAAAGATAGTATTTGGTCTTCTCCAAATCATTAATATCAGACTTCCCCTTAGAAGCTTTGCTCAAGGCAAACACAAAGTTCACCTCTTGCCCATGAAAGTTTATATATTGCCCCTGATATCAATTTTACACTTTTTGCCCAAATGACTAATAGCTTGATGATAGCAATTTTCAGGCCCTACGTGAATTACAGGTGCATGAAAATGGTCCCTTACTTATTGGAGAAGAAATGAAATCAGGGTTAATCCATCTGACCTCTTTCTTCATAGAGAGCAGGGCATTATAATAGACTTTTGGGTTCAACTGGTTGGTATATATTTTAAGAAGAGGAATGTATCCATACCTGGGATTTTAAATATATGTAGAAAATGGATAAGAGTCAAGAGAAAATGGGCAAGAAAACAATATTTTATTTAAAAGCCCAAAATACAGTTCTTTCCTAAATGGACTACCCTTGCCTATGAATAGAAATAGTTAGACGACTGGTAGAGCAATCCATTTCCTTTGCACTTTGAGTACAATCTTACTGCCTTTGTGAGGTTAGGGATTTAGGGCAGAGTTTCTCAACTTCAGCACTATTGACGTTTGGGGTCAGACATTTCTTTGTTGTGGGGGCTGTCCTGTGTGTTGGGAGATGTTTAGCAGCATCCCTGGTCTCTGCTCAGTAGATGCCAATAGCACCTTCCTACCTGTGACAACTCAGAACGTCTCCAGATGCTGCCAGATTTCCCCTGGAGAGCAAAGTACCTGCCCCCCTTCCCCCATGGCTGAGAACCATGGCTTCAAGGAAGGTGCCAGGGTAGAGGGAAGTGAGAACTGGTTATGAAGTCTGAAGGTCTGAAATCCAGGCAGCTACATATGAGCTCTGTGACTGTAAATGGCTCACTGGTGACTTGGAGCCTCGGGTCCCTAATCTTTTCCATGGCGAGACTCACGTCTGGACCAGAGGTTCATTGTGATGAGGGGATGGGATCCCTTAGAGCAGAGGCAGATGGCCTTTGAGCTAAGAATGATTATTATGTCTGTAAAAGTTTGTAAAAAAGAAGGAGGAGAATTTGTATGACAGAGGATTTATGTGGCCCACAAAGCCAAAAATATTTACCATCCGCTCCTTTACAGAAAAAGTTTGCCAACCCCCACTTCAACAAATGTGATTTTTAAGTCTTTTCTGTCTAAATGCAAGTTCCTGTTTTTTTAATATGGCCTAATGCTGAAGAAATGCTGGGACTACTCGTGTAAAACTAGGCTCTGCTCAGATAGTAAGCTTGTGCTCCCAGTGGTCCTGTGGCCTGGGCTTAAAGTCACGCACTCCCTACAGTCAGGCGTGGGGAGGCCACCAGATCAGTGTGCTGTTACATTTAATCTTGTTCTTTGATGGGCTCATAATAAGAAATATGAAATGATCTGGTCTGCTTCACTTTCATTCCTCATGGACGTAGAGTTCCTTCAAGTGCGAAAAGACTTACCTCAAAATCAATAACAACAGGATTATACTTTAATGACCTCCCCCAGAAGCGATATGTAATGGTGCTCCCGTTTTGAGTCAAGCCGCCGCCCCAGCCCGAACTGCCACCTCGAACCCGAGAAATGAGGTCTTCCACAGCCATGGCCTGCATGTCGCTTTCTGCCATCAAGAAGATAACTGCATTAGTTCATTTTCCAAAAAGCCAAAGGACTGGTTGGCAAGCCCCACCAGTGCGATCTGGGACAGAGTTCATGTGCTCCCCTTAGAGCTGTCTCCCATGCTTCTACCTTGCTCAGTTAACTCGTAGGACAAAGCAGAAGAGAAGGACCAGGGCCTAGAAATAGATCCATCCTCCGAATTAGAGAGACCCGGTAAGGACAGCCCAGCCCACACCAGCATGGCAGAGGGAGAGGATGGGAAAGTGGATGAGGATTCATTCATGATGCATTTATTCATTCATATGCCCCGTGCCTGCTACCTGCCGACTAGGCTTAATTAAATATCAGAGGTGCTGTGACAGATGTCTCTATGGGGCTCAGAAGGGGCACGGAGAAAGATCTACAGTACAGGAGGGAGGGTGGTCAGGGTGAAAAGTGAGTTGTCTAGAAAAGTGAATGAATTTTTGGAGGTAAATGGAGAGAGGAAGGAAGGGCATCACAGAGAAGAAATCATTTGACTTAAGGCCCTGAGGCATGAGTAGCCTAACACAATGGGAGTAACTTAAACCTGTTTCATATCTACCTCATCCACTATACTATAAACTGTTTCATCATCCCTGCATCCTCTGTGTCTCCCACCTGAAAAAAAAATACCCAATACATTTGATGAATGAATGCATGCATGAGCACTCACACTGACTTGTTCAGGAAATGCCACAAGATATCTATGTACAGTCTTTCTCTAATAATTGTTCTTTGCCCTTAACAACTATATTCTTCTCTCTCAGAAGACTTGTCTCCTCCCTCTGGACTGTAACCCAAGGCACCTTCATCTCAACAGTCAACTACCCAGGTTCTGTCTACACATTCCTTTCATCCCAGTCCTTTCTTAGATCTCCGTCTAGGGCTCAAAATCTAGCAGGGGACATGTTCCCAAATCATGTCTTTCTAAGGTGATCTCAGCCCATGGTGAATTCAAAATAGAGCCACAACTAGTCATTGCTTTTTGGGGTATTGAGCACCTGCGCAGCGTGAGCATTGACTGAAATGGAATCAACTGAGGGGGAAAGTCATGTTCATGCCCTGAGTGTGTGTCCAAGGAAAAGTCCAGCTGCTCTTTGGGAGACCCATTACTCAATACTTACTAGTGTCGCCACCTCCAAATCTTTTACAACGTTCCCCTGATAACTTCCCTCCAATTTGTATCCTGTCTGAAGAGTCATATCCAATGCCCACAAAACCTCCAAAGCATGACTTGATATCTCTGCTGGTAATACCTGTGACAGGGAAACACACACACAAAACGCTGAGAAGCTTCAAGACAGTGAATATGGAACAACTCACTCACAACAGTTGTAGCTAGCTTCAGTTTTGGAGTCTAAGAGATCTGGGTTGAGATCCCAGTCCTTTAACCCAAATTCAGTGTTCTCTTCTGTGTAGTTCAAACTCAAATAATTCTTGAAACGAGAAGGAAATGCACCTACTAGTTGCTCAAAAGCACTAGTTCCCTTTCTTCTGCACATTCTCCACAGAGCCTCCTTGAGGCAGGGATTCTGCCTCATCCATCTCCATATACCCCTGTGCCTCGCACAGTACCTGGCCTGTGATCGGCACCACTTTCACTCCGCCATTTTGCACATATTACCCCTTCCTCTCTCCACTTTCACTTGAATAGACATTGTTCCAAAGTCTACTCAAGCTCCAGTTCAAATATCATGTCCTCCATGAAGCAGATTTAGATCAGAACACTTCCCTCTTTCTTTAGAGCTACCAATGTGTTTTGTTCAGGCGTGAATGATGATATTTGCACATTTCTTTTTTTACCCAGGTCCTCTTTGTACCCCGGAGGGGCCAGAGGGCTGTTAGAAGATGGAGAGATCTCCATCGGGAGTCTGCCTGCCTTCTGGCCCCATGATAATTGAGTCCCTATATTTGTCTGCATCTGGGGACCCACGGAGGAACCTGACTCTTGTAGATGAGGAGCATAATTCTCAAAGTAGTAAAGTCATTTTGTCCCAATCGCTCACTCTGTAAGTGAACAGAGCTGGGTTTCCAGCCCTTCGTTGGGCTGGCAAGGTAAGGCGAGAAGAGGCGGCTAGAGCAAGATACTGACCATTGCTACAGAGTCCAGCTTTTTCTGTGGCTCAAGTTTTCCGAAGGTTGTAAACTGGAGTTTGTATTTTTGAAATATCATTACCTTTTTTTTTATTTAAATTCAATTAGCCAACACATAGTACATTATTAGTTTCAGATGCAGTGTTCAGCATTTCCTCAGTTGCATATAACACCCAGTGCTCATCACATCTCATGCCCTCCTTAATGCCCATCACCCAGTTACCACATCCCCCACCCACCTCCCTTCCAGCAACCCTCAGTTTGTTTCCCATAGTTAAGAGTCTCTCTTGGTTTTTCTCCCTCTCTGGTGACTTCCCATTCAGTTTTCCCTCCCTTCCGTTATGGTCTTATGCACTGTTTCTTATATTCCACTCGTGATTGAAACCATATGGTAATTGTCTTTCTCCAATTTACTTATTTTGCTCAGCATAATGCCCTCCAGTTCCATCCATGTCAATGTAAACAGTAAGTATTCATCATTTCTGATGGCTGAGTAATATTCCAATGTATATATGTACACATCTTCTTTATCCATTCATCTGTTGAAGGACATCTCAGCTTCTTCCATGGTTTGGCTATTGTGGACACTGCTGCTATGAACATTGGGGTGCATGTCCCCCTTCTTTTCACTACATCTGTATCTTTGGGATTAATACCTAGTAGTGCAATTGCTGGGTCGTAGGGTAGCTCTATTTTTAACATCTTGAGGAACCTCCATACTGTTTTCCAGAGTGGCTGCACCAGCTTGCATTCCCACCAACAGTGTAGGAGGGTTCCCCTTTCTCCG